CACAAAGGGTCCCTTATGCAATACAATTTGATCACTTATTATACAATACCCTAAGAGTTGATTCTGATCATGTTTTATGGATCTTGCAACAAACTGGATAGGGAAACAGGCCTAATGTCTCTATATATGGATGTTCATCATTTCCATTTAACCTGCTGACTGGCCTATAATATCTTTGCTGCAGTTTATAGAGCGTTATGAAGGCACTTTTGGCAAAAGAAATTATAATTTCACTATTGGGAAAGTAGACTTTGTTGCAATTGATGCCCAAACCATTGATGGTATATTAAATTTCAATTATCGCAGTATCTTTGTCGCAAATTTGATCTGCATAATTAACAAGGATTTTTATTTGGTTCAGTGGTGTTAATTCAAAATTTCTTGGAACGTTCATAGTTCTCTAAATATTAAAGTGTACTTTTCAATGCCACATAATTTCTTGTTAGGTTCAGAGTGGCCTTAGGGTATCAGTTGTAAACTGTTTGATTCATTAAATTATTATAAGTGCTTGACTTTTGTTTGAAAACTTTATGGCCCACGTTATTTATGGTTCTTATCTTTGTAAATCATATCAATGAGTACATTGTGCAAAGTAGAACTGTGGAAAGTTGTAAAAAAAAGTATTACAAATTACTATTTTTTAGCAAATTGTTGTTCAATAATATAAATCATTGGAATATATTTGTAAGAGTTTGACATACATTGCTTTTTCTATTTTTTTTTTATTGCTTGAAATAGCGGAAATAGATGCAAATGCATGTAGTAATTTGAAATTGCTTCCCATTTTAGATTTTTTTTTAGTTTTGTACGATCTCCATTATTTCTCTAAATAAATAAACACCTTTTTATTAAATATACTTTTTTAGATTAATGCTTTGTTTTCATTTTTCAATATTAATTTTAATCAAATATCCATATGCATGTTATGTCGGTGAATCGGTGATTCATGGAGTCAGTTTTACTAAGGGAATCATTTTATTTTGGTAGCATGGAGTCAATTTTCCTAAAGGAATCATTTTATATTGGTGGTTATGCTTGTGGTTAATGGTTCACGGAGTCAGTTTCACTAAGGGAATTATTTGTTTCTTACAGGTAACATAAAAGACAATACAACTTCATTTACTTGGTCATTTGTGGATGGCTTATCCACGGGTAAGTCAACTTCATTATCTCTCTAACAGCAGTTTGTTCATTTTAGGTAGCTGAACTTTAGTGCTTCCTCTGCCCTCCTAAAAGGCCTTTTATTCAGTTCCATTGTCGTGTGCAAGTGTATGTAGGAGTTTCCTGGTATGAATTGTTAGAAGCTTCAGCAAAGTAACACCAAACCTTGATAAGTTCTTGTCACACTTGTATTAAACAAAGCTCATTGGCAATTCTATTGAACTTGATCTTGTCAGCTGTGACTTGATACTTATAAACACATTGTAATGCATTTCCAAGCATCTTAAAGTGATTGTTTACTTTTTACTTCAAGTAAGCTTGGACACCTGTTTGTTTTCTCATCTAACTCATTTCTCTAAGAGTTCCATAAATTTCATAACATCCCAATAATGTAGTGCAGAAACGCCCAGCATCAGTTTTCTTCCACAAACCAAACTGCATAAGATACCCATCAGAAACAGAAGGCCTAGGCGGCCTTATTCTTTTCCATTCTATTGGAACTCATGAAATCAGCCTTGCATAAATTTTGAGATGCACATCTAATACACGGGCTTGTTTTGTGCCCATAAATGTCAAGAAAAGAACTGTCAGTTGCTTAAAAATTCTCAATTGTCTTGCATCTGCCTCTAGATTTCTAACCTTTCAACTTCACATTAGTCACTGAAACCTTTATCTTTGTTGGACTATAGTTGATAATCACCAGAGGGTATTGAAAGTGGATGGTGTAGAGAGAAAGAAAGCTAAGTGGAGGTGTGGTTTGCACATCTACTGTGGAGATAAAGAGTGAGTTCCCATAAGGTTAGTTGGTCATTATCACACATGTGCGTGTGTTCACACACGGGGGATATTTATTCTGAGTCTCGCTAATATAAGAAAGGGAGGGCTTGCTTTCTGGTCACATAGAAGAGTGAGGATTATTTGATTGATGCTAGTTTAGTGTTTAGCTTTGAGAATGGCTGTCTCGTTTCTACAATTCATACAGAAAGTGTTGAACAACATTAAAACATATTGATTCCTCTAAAATCCATATCCCCATTTCCTTGTTTTTTTGGAGATTATATTTTTGAACTAATTTTGTGTTTACTAACTTTACTTATATCGGATTTCATGCTACATAGAGTCCCATTAAAAATTGAAATACATTTAGATTGAAAGAGGTTATTATTTGGAGAAAGATGTTTAGTGTATGACAACATTAAGTTATCCTCTTCATCAGGTGGAAGAACAAATCCTAGGGTGCTGTTGACCCATATCCCTTTGTACCGTCCGGATTGGACTCCTTGTGGCCCACACCGTTCTTCAGAAATTATCAATCAGGTATTGATGTCTAACCTTTATGAACACCTTATGACTTACTTTCGTTTTACCCCGTTGTGCATTTGTGCAACTTATATTCGCATTACTATCATATATGCCTAACCATTTGGCACTTAACTCACAGGCTTTTTTTCCTTTGTGTTCAGAGGATTTCTCGCTCTGCTTATGATCAGAGGATACTGTAAATTTCATACCTCAAAACTTTTCTGTCAATGTGATATTGCTTTACTCACTCTTTTGTCAATATTGATTATTTTTTGTATGATGCAGATACCAGAATTATGTCACTAAGGAGTCTGCAGAGCATATCTTGGACTCTATTCAACCTGTATGTTCTCTGGCTTTTCCTCTATATGTGAAGCAGAATGAAACTAGTTGCTGCAATAAACAACTTCATTTTTCTGTTTGGTCAGGTACTTGTCCTCTCTGGTCATGATCATGAACAGTGTACAGTCAACCACGAGACAAAACATGGTACTGTCAAGGAGGTAATTAGTCTGATCCAGAATATGTTGCTGATATAGCTGATACGTTGGATACTTAACAAACTAATAACATATTACTACTGCCAGCATACTCTCGGGACGGTAAGTTGGCAACAAGGGAACTTCTATCCATCGTTTATGCTCCTATCTGTAGGCAATTTTACACATGCTAATGGATCTTCTCAAGAACCAGTCATACTTACTCAGCTGTGCTTTCTTCCTACGCAACTGTTCATATATATATGGTAATTGCTTGTAGCTTTACCCGTTTCATTTAAACAATTCGCCTTATCAACTACTCCAAAGTTATTTCAAGTGCTAATGGTTAAATTCGTATGATATTGATTTCCAATTTTAATGATTTCAGGTATATCATACTTTTTGTTGTAACTATTCTTGCTCTGTCAATTTTGCCTACATACGACATAAATCTCCACTTTGGGCATCTGATGACAAAAATAAACAAATTGGTCAGAGAAGATCTTTTTTCAAGTAGTAGAAAAGAGAAAAACGAAGATGAAAACTGTGAATATGAGATGATGTGGGATGCCGAAGGGAGTTTGCATGTCATCAAGAAGCTTAGTAAAACCCCTTTGGTTGTGTCAAAGGAGACGAGCTCAACAGAAAGGTTTGTTGGTCTTTTTACCTTCATTTCACTGCTTTGTGGCTTTGCTGTTGATATTTCGTTCCTTTCATGTCTTAGTCGATCTCATGTAGTCATGTCATGTGTCGATAGAATATCATAAAATGAAGCAAATGGCGCACGCCCACACACACACACACTATTACACACTCTTTTTATCCACAAATTATTGGTAGCTGTACTCTCTATAACTTCATGAGTTCATGATATAAATTTCATTGATACAAAGTTAAGAAGAAAAATATTAATAAAATAGTGTTCATTCAATCAAGTGGAGCCTTGGCACACTGTCTTCTCTCAGTTTTTTGGTAATTTGCATACTATTTTTGGAATGGATTGTTTGCTACTTGATGATAATAGCTCACAACATATTTCAACTAATGGCATGTTTTTGTATAGAGGGAATGCTGTGATGCGTGCTGCTAGGAAACAAATGGTCCTAGAACAAGAGGGTGCAACAAAAGTGGACATTAGTGGAGATCCTGGGTCTGATGTGAAAAACTTGACAAGGTCAAGCAAATCATTACTGAGGATAATGCTGCAACGATTCATTCGTGTACTTGGTATGGTTTTGGTGATCGCTGTGGTGAACGTTCCACTTTACATGATGCTCTTGTTCAAAGATTGGGCTGAACAATGATGCACTCAGGTCACGGTAGGTCTTTTGTAACATCTGTGAATGAAGAACTGGCTAAACAATTTGATTAAAGGTACTTTCCCATTTTACTAGCAGAATTGATAGTTCAAATGATATCCTAGCTGTCGTCGTTCACTGCTTTCATGATGGTGCTTGTTATCAGCTTTCTCTATCTCTGTCTTTTTTCGGGGGCTGGGGAATAGCTTGTTGTAGTATCATGTTACTATTAAGGTTAAAATTGTTGTAAAATCAGAAAAAGGCTTTAATGTCATGTAACTTTGAAATTTAGTGATGTCTATTAGCTGTTGTAGTGAAGGTCTGGTCGTCTGGAGGAAGTAAGGAGCATATCTGTAGTAATACTTTTACAGTTTTATCCAGTATATTCTTTTGAGTATTTACATGGATTATGATCATGTTGAATAATACGTATGTAAACACCTTTATTTATTTATTTATTTTTTATTTATATGTTCTTATATAAATATTTGACTTTCGCAGGAAATTTACGTATTTGTCATTTTATTATCACTGTTCTTTTCTTTATATTCCATTTTTTTTGGAGATGGTTTCTTAAAACGATTCATGATTTTATGCTAGCCATCCAATTATCATTGGGACTATAGAATTTGCTATATACATCCGGGTGTACCGTACATCCGAGTTCATTTGCTAATCTAATCAACAAATGAGCAAGCAATATTTTTACTCATTTGTTGATTAAAGCTCATTTGTTGATTAAATGAGCAAATAACTCCGTGTGTACAGTATACCGGGTGTACATAATAGACTCTCTTGGGACTAAAGCTTTGTTGTTTTTGCCTTTTGGTGTAGTGGAAAGTTTACATTCAACATCACTTGTTCACAAAGTTTAATAAAACAAAGGGTAATTGGTGTGATGAAATTAATGACTCAAAACCTAATTATGATAAGTCACTATAATCAATAAACAAGGTCTCCCCACTTATGAGAGTGAAGTTTTGGATGTCAATTTTACGCGTTCAAGTTGAGTTACCATATTCCCTAAAAAAAAAAATGTTGAGTTACCATATTACTTTAAATTTTGAATATTGAACTTGGGACTGACTATAAACTGCTATTATCTCGTGAAATTCCAGACCAAATGAGCTCAACACGTGAAGTTTCGTTGTCATTTTTAGTATTTTTGCATGCAAAAATTTCAGACCAAACAACACAAGTATACAACCAACAAAACATACCCATGTTTTGATAACATTGATAAGACAAACCTAAGCATTGCAGCAGCCAGCAAATTTGATAATGACTCCTTAAATTTGTTACTCCATACGTCCCTATATTCAAATGTGAACGATTAATTAAGAAGCGTGTTATGAGAATTCATCATTTTCAAACGGAATTAAGATGTACCTACTTTTAGTGTTGCGTGTTTATGTGCTCACGTCATTCTTATTTAAGATTTCTTTTTAACTGGTTGCACCACATATCAATACAATCAATGTATTGGAACGATCGTGTTTTTTTTTTTTTTTTTTTTTTTTTTTTTTTTTTTTTTATTTTTTTTAATGCAAACAAAAGTTACATGTGATTATGTGATGCATGCAAAGTTTCCATGGATAAACATTTGTATGGCATGAACCAATTTATGGTACATGTGGCAACACCGAAAAACTACGAGCAACCAATTCAAAATATTCACTTTATCACATATGTTGCACTTGCCCAATTCCAAGGGCGGAATTTCATGTTCCATAACATTTTATTGTATTTATTAGAAAATTTCCCAAGATTTTATAAATCCCTACGAATATATAATAAGTATATCTCGTGCATTAATACGGTAAAGCTTAGATATATCTTGTAGAAGGTAAAGTACTTTAAAATTAATTTGTTACAAAGTAACAAGAAACAAGGAGGTGAGGGTGTAAAGGGAGGTAGTTCTATATATCTTTCTCTCAAAACTCGGACAACCTTTTATTTTTCTTATTATCCCTTCATTTTTGCAACAATCACAAAAATATTAAATGAGAGAGCTCCTAGAAAATACCAAAACCAATGGATTTGCTTCATTTGTTGGTTACTTAATACTTATCACATCCATCTTGAGCATTTTTGCTTTCCACTCACCTTTCTCTTTAAACATCACCAAAACATTAGAGCAAATCAATTCAATAAATCATCCTCAAAAGGGTATGAATCTACACTATTTTCCCTAGAGAGAGCGTTGTTGTAATTTACATTATATGTGAATTTTCATTAATGTATGTAGTATTATAGTATTTAAACTAATTATATGTTTTTTTAATGATTTTTTTCAGATAAAAATGGAAAATGTGATTTGTTCAAGGGGAAATGGGTTGAAGATTATTCAAAAGGCCCACTATATACAAATGCAACATGCACAACAATTCCAACGTCAAAAGATTGCTTCTTGCATGGGAGGAATGACAAGGAGTTTTTGTATTGGAGATGGAAGCCACACAAATGTGAGCTCCCAAGGTTCGAACTTGATACCTTTTTTCAAATTATGCGCGATAAGAGGCTAGCATTTATAGGAGATTCTGTTGGTAGAAACCAAATGGAGTCTCTTTTATGCATCTTGTCTCAAGAAGAAGCACCAATTGATGTGTATAAGGATGCAAAAGACCAGTCTCGAACATGGTTCTTCCCTAGGAACAATTTCACCCTAATGGTGTTATGGACTAGGTTTTTGGTTAAGGGTGTTGAAAGAGAAGGTGGAGTTTATGATTTGCACCTTGATCAAGTGGATGAAAAATGGGGTTATAATGTGAGTCAAGGTTTAGTGGATTATGCAATCGTTTCAAGTGCTCAATGGTACTTTAGAAAGAATTATTTATTTGAAGGTGGGAAATTAATTGGATGTCTCTATTGCAATGAAGCCAATTTGACTCAATTTAAAGTGAGTTTTGCTATTGGGAAGGCCTTTCAAACTACACTCAGGTAAGCTTAATTAAGGCTTTTAATTTCGTGTTCTAGATGATTAAGTAACGTGCATAAATGACATGTTATGGTTTATGATTTATGGTGAGGTGTGATTATTAGACCATATTAATTTGTTGGGTTATGTTTATGCACAATTACAACCACCACAACCATCCATCTAGCATGAATAAAGGTTGTTAAACATATTGATTTATTTGCAACTGAACCATAGGAAATGTTAACACGAAATTACTGAATATGTTGTAGGAGGTTTTGGGGGTATCCCTTTGTACTCATAATAAGAAACAATGGTTTTATTATTTATTTATTTATTTTGGGAAAGAAACAATGGTTTTATTAGACTATACAGCTAATATTCTATCTTATATTTTATGATTTTGCCAATAATAGCATGATGACAAAAATACATATTTGGCCAATAAATCCTATTCACTTCACCTTTAAAAAGAATAATATTTAAAGTAAATATTTTTTGTTCGGTAAAAATAAGTTCAATTCAATAAAAATAATTTCATTTAAGTAAAAATAAGTTCAGTTCTTTAAAATTCAGTAACTTTAAAGAGTAAATATAATAGAAATTTAGTAAAAAGTCATTTTATTACAAAAAAAAAAAAATTAGTAAAATGAATTTCAATTCAGTAAAAATAATTTAATTAAGTCAAATATAAGGTGAAGTGAACTGACGCGGAGCCTAATTTAAAGTATTTCTTTCTTTATTGTTTTTTTTTTGGGTGGATTTATGTTTGGCTAGATTTATTGTTTATGTAGTAAATTATTTAATCCCTTTATTAACTGGAATAATTAGTTGTTATATCCTAGTAATTAAATTAGATTCTAATTACAAAATATACTAAACGTACATGAAATACACATGCAGCTACATTAATGGTTGCAAAAATTGTAAGGGCATGCTGACCTTGGTGAGAACAATTTCACCAACACATTTCGAAAATGGGACGTGGAACACCGGAGGCCATTGCGAAAGATCAAAACCTTACAACAAAGAAAATATGTTGATATCTAGCAAAAACAATGATGAATGGGAGGTAAGAGACATTCAAATCGAAGAAATCGAAAGAGCAAAGAAAGAAGGCTATTGGAAGGGACAACGAAAATTCCAAGCCTTGGATATCACTAAGGTTATGTTGTTGAGACCGGACGGACACCCGGGTTCACACTGGCGTGACAAGAAGAAGAAAGGGTTCAATGATTGTGTGCATTGGTGCATGCCTGGCCCTATTGATGTGTGGAATGACCTCTTCTTAGCACTACTTAGTTGAGTTCATCCATTGTAGAAATTATGGTTAAATTAGGTTGGATTATAAGTATAATTACAGTATTCTATACATGTATGACAGGGTGGGGGCCGGGGGGGTCTTTATTAATTATTTCAACTCGAGTACTACCAAAATTGTGGTGCTTATGAAAAAGTTGAAATACGCTTCGTACATATTTTACAAATTTTTAAATAAGACCGTCTTATCATCATAAAATTACATTGTAGAATTGTAGGTGAATTGAGTCAAGGAAAAAGGTGAAACTGTGATAGGAATCATAGGGTCACATACTCACTAGTCGCAATGACTCACAAAAATAATCTAATGATAATAATAAAGCGGTCTTTCACACATATACATTATACAAATAATTGAAAAAACGTACTCCATATTGAAGTCTCATAACCGAATAGAAGCAATTTTGTCACGTTTTTTAAGAGGGCAATTTCTAATTCCTATTACGCACTTATCTGTAGAATAAATATAAATGGACGGTAACAGCTTAAATAATAAATTTGTTGTCCATACTCATGAATGATGAATCAATTTTGTCAGTAAATGATTTGAACAATCATTGCACATGCATGCAATAAGCTATTTACGAGTAGGAATTAATTAAGGAGTACATTTCTTAAATACATTAATTCAGTTTTTCACATGATCAATATTTTATGTCAACGTGATGAGCAACTCAAGACTTCAAGCTTTTCTTATCTTATCCAAAAAGATGAGAAAAAGATCGAGAGACTTCAAGCTACGTCCCCCATCCTTCCCTTTTCACATTACTCTCTCTGTTTTTATGTTGGACTTAGGTCGTCCAACTTTTTGAGCCATACACTCGTAATTGCCTTCAATTCACTTCACATTAGTATGATATATTTTTTTTTTTCTTTTTGAAATATGTATGATATTATTATTCACTTTAAACATAATCTACGCATATTTGTTTTAAGAGCTTCTTCTTAAAAAGTCTTATTTTTTTCATCATGTATATGTATATCCTTCAATACTTGTATGCCTAGTAAGAACAAGTATGTAGTACATGAAAAGTGACATTTTAGTATATATGGGAGGTTGATTGGGGAATTTTAATAGTTTGTAGAAAAAAAAAATTAGGTAAAAGTGGATTTAAAGAAAAGAAACGATAAAATGATTAATATTGGTCTTCTTGTCAAAAAAAAAAAAAAAAAAAAAAAAAAACTACCTTGCAATTGTTTAAAAATAGTCATATAGCACATAAAATTTGATTAGTTTTAATTTTGAAATTAAGAAACCAGAAAGTTACAAAATTAGTTATACTTGACTTGACCAATACACTTGGCCTTGCCACACACTCTACACTAGAGGTGTCAAAATCACACCCGTTCTTACTTGATCCAAAAAATATCCAATTTAGATTTAGACTAGCATGAACATAATAATTTTTAGTATAATTCAACTTTAAAAGTTGACCCTATCCGAGCTCATTTGATCCGATCCAATCATCCATATTAACACCCTACTTTGCACTCAGAAGACATTATCAACCTCTACTATATGTCTATATTATTAATTACTTGTACAAAAATAGTGCTCATTAGATTAATTGATTTAAAGGTTGGCTTCAAAAAAGAAAAAAAAAAATAAAAAAATAAAAGGTTAGCAACCCCATGTGATTGACGACCACTACCATAGTACGATACATAGAAATTTGTTGTATAACCTTCTTTTTCACTAATAAATTAATTATTTATAACGTTTTACAAATGTTTGTTGTTATTTATTTAATTTATAAGGAAGCATCCTACCGAGTAATTCCGAAAAGACTGCATACTAATAATCTAAAATAGGGTGCGCCAACCCTTGATTAGTCAGTAAGGGTGCGTACTACAAGTAGGACTAATGTAGTAATACATTTGTTTCGGATGAAAACAATCGAATCTCGGAAGATCCTTTTATCTTGAGGGAACTTGGTCTCGGTCCGAACGACGCAGGAGCCGAGGGTTTCCTGCACAACAAATACACGTAAACTAGCCTCGGGGGGACGCCGAGGAAGGCCCCTCCGATGCTTAAGTCAGTATATTAGAGAGAGAAAGCTGTGCAAGAGTTTAGTTGCTTGAGGCTTTATTGTCTTACCAAGAATTGACCAAATTGTTGGCTTTTATACCTTGGCTAATGAAGGAGGCGGATTGGGCCCGGAAGTCAGTTGGGCTGGGCCAAGCTGATTGGGCCGTTGACTGACCTTGACATGGCTTTGAGGATGTTGATTTTTGACTTTAGCACATTTGGAGAGTTGAACCTTAACCTTGGGCTTTTAATTGGATCATTCAGTGACCAGGCCCAATTGGACTAAATTGGACCCAAACAACTTGCCCCCCAGACCCGATTTGGAAGGATGACGGGTCGGGTTTGATTTAATCAGAAAAGGAGGGAAGTGAATGATTTGTTAATCCAAAAATGTGAATTTAAACCGTAATTAACCCATGATTAATGAGATAACAACAGTTAATGTGGATAATTGCGGAAGTTGGACGGGTAGTGGGCGATTTAACTGCAAGGTCGTGTGTTTAACGGTTACTTAGTGGGGTGCTTGAGAGAAATTGAAACGCAGACTCCTTGAATTCCCATTTCTGGAGATATAAATAGAGGCGCGTCTTCTCTCCCCACTCATTCATCAACACAAACCCAGAATTCTCAAGAACGCTCAAGAGCCCGCATCAAAACTTCGCAAATTCCCCGAGCATTAAGCTTAGAAGCTGAGACTTGTCACTACCAATTCGTAAATCGGCGGCTTTTGCTTCAGATCAAGGTAAATTCCTTTGATTTTATTTCATTTTTCTTCGACTTTGCACTCTTTCCCCTTTTTCGACTTTTTCCTTCGAAATTCGTCAATGGTGAGGGGAGTTAGAGGTGGAGCCCGTGCTCCAAGAAGAGCAAGGCTAATCCCCGATCCCAGGGACAGGATTGGGACCTGGAATGGACGAAGGACAGAGTCTGACCCTGCTGAAGGGGTTAGGGCGACTCCCATTTCTTCGGCTCCTCCTCAGAGGGCTGAGGGGGTGAGCGCTTCAGGACGGGATGATGAAGTTCCCGCTGTCCTTTGGGATATCCTCCCAGGGTTTTCAGAGTGGGAGGATGCCGAAGTAGCTTCGGCCATGATAAAGAACCGCCCCTACTCATGGTGGGTGGAGAATGCTGATCAGTACCGGTTTGCCGAGCAAATTGAGTTGCATTACGGCATCCTTGAAGCCGATGGGTATTGGTGCCGAATGCCCACGGCCTCCGATAGAATCCACCGTCCACCCCCGGGGTATGTGGGGGTGTACACAAGACAACTCCAGTACGGGCTGAGGTTCCCTTTGGACGTATTCGTCCGAGACTTGCTGATCCATTACAACATTTCCCTGTGCCAGCTGACCCCCACCAGCATCCGAAGGGTAATGACGTACTTATGGGTCTGCAAATTCTTCAGGTACGTGCCGAACCTGCATTGCTTCAAAAGGCTCCATCGGCTAGTGCCAAACATTCAAAGTGGGCACGGATGCCATGGCTCTGGGTGGTATCGGATTGAGTCTCGGCCCCCGTTCCTAACCATGTGGCCGAACGACTCTTCAGACAAGGACTGGAGAGGTCAATGGATTTGGGTTAGGGCACCCACGGAGCCGAGCCACCCTTACGTTTTCAGCGCTCCCCGGTATCTTGCCGAGCCGGATCCTGATATGGGAAGTTTAGGTCCTCCCGAAGATAGCGGGCCAGACCCGAACCTTAATCAGCAGAACATCTTCGGCAAGCTGCCGAACCGGGGAGGCAGCGGCCGAATGCAGCATATCCCGGAGACTTGGCTCCCCGATACGCACTATGTTTTCCAAGAGAATATGCTGGCAGCTGTCGGCCTCAGCCGAAAGTTTAGGGATGGTAATCTTCTTCGGCTGGGGCCGAGGCCTTTTAATTATCTCTTTTCTTCTTTCATTTTGCTTTCTTGTGATGTGCCGAACTAACTGAATTGACTTCTCCCCTTTTCTTTTTCAGAACGGGACGAGACCAACGTCGGCATTGATTACGCTCGCCTTGGCGTCAACCGAGAACGAGTCGTAACTGATCGGGCTCCCCCTATCACTGAACCAAGGCGCCGAGAGGTTCACCTAGACTCTTCCCACTTCCAAATTGAGGCTGTTGCTCTGTATCAGAGGCAGAAGCCTTGGTGGAAGAAGAGAGATCCCTTGTTTCAGCTGCTGGAAGAAGAAGCTGAAGCTGCCCGTACAGCCGAAGAGGTTGCACGGGTTATTGAAGCTTGTGAAGGTGGAGAAGGGTCCTCCAGAGTTGCTGAAGAAGCTGCGGCTAGGGCAGCTGAAGAAGACGAGGCTTTGCTGAAGACCTCGGTGAGCCTTTAGACTTAACTTTGTCTTTCTTTTTTTTTTTTTTTTTTTTTTTTTTACTCACATTCTTCCCCCTGCCTGCCCTTTACAGTCTGAAGAGAGCAGCAGACACAGGGAAGGGAAAGCCCCTGTTCGTCCCGAAGACCAAGTACAAGAAGAGTCTTCAGACTCGGGTATGGACGAGCAGCCGCTTCAGAAGAGGCGCCGAAGAATGGCCATCATCGGCCCGCATGACTTTCAGCGGAGGCCGATGACCATCGGCGTTGAAATAAGGGAACCCGAGGAAGGCAATGGATCGCCGAGGGTTCCCCGGCCACCGCCTCAATCACCCCCAAGGGCCTCTCCGCCACCCCCGAGATGGAGGTGGATCAGAGAACTCCCAAACCTAAGGGAGAGGTTCTGGAAGAAGCTCGAGAGAGTGCCGCCGAGGACAAGGATGGAGACGCCGTGATGCCCAGTGCTGAGGGTTTCACGGCGGACATTGCCAGAGAGGTTGGGGCCTTCGTCCTCACACCTGAAGAAGAAGAGGTCACAATAATTGACTCTTCTGAGAAGGAGGAGGACGTTGAGCCACCCAAAGCTAAAGAGGCTCCATCGTCATCCTTCCCTTCCTTCCAGACGCTGCAGTCTGGAGAAATGGGTTTCTCGGCCCCCCGAATTCCAGTCCCAGACCACATCTGGGACCTCATATGGGGTCAGAACCGAGAAGGTGCTGCAGCCTACTTCGGCGATTTTGCTGGCCTGTCCGAAGTAGATAGGGCAAGGATTTGGTCGCTGAAGGCCACTGCTGGGATGGGCGAATCCAGCAGATCAGTTCCTGACCCTGCCAGGTCCAACCAACTGCTGATGATGCAGGTAATTCTCCTTGCCTTGATTTCTTTCTGAA